TTGATTATTTGATGAAAGGAATGACCTTGAATTTTAATGCAGAGAAGGTATTTTTCTAATGTTGTAAAAGGAATCATAATCACCAATACTCTTACATAGAGACTGACATTGGTATCAAATGAATGGTCCCTAAAAAGTTTACAAGATTTTACAAGATTTTACTAGATTTACTAGGTTTACTAGATTTACGAGATTTACTAGATTTACTAGATTTACAGTCTACCCACTTGGCAAGGGGTTTGTAGCAATGTTGGGAATAGTTTAATGTTTGACAGGTTCTTACTTTGGTTAAAAATTAAGCAAACAGTATTGTCACATTTGAATAGGTTCATGTGTTTGATATTTAGATATTTTACTGACCTAAACTTTATGTAGTCTGTAGCCATTGACTCTATTGAATACAAAATTTATCACAGGCCCATAGACAGCATTTGCCAAGGGGGGGGGGGGGGCACTTTTTAAAAATTCCAGGGGGGTTCACTTTTGACAATATAAGTCCAAAAATGACCAAAATCACTTAAAAAGTGTTCAGAATGATGGAAAACTGAATGATTTTGAAAGAATATTTGGCCAGGGGTTTGCTCCATGAATAACAGTGGGCAAACAAACCAGAATATATCATAACCTTTAAATGCTTGGGTTAGCAACTTACATATCTTAGGGGCTTGGATTTTTCATGAGCCTATTTTGTACCAATAAGTCACTTCATGGGGGTATTCCTTTTGGCTATGTCCCAGAGTTTGCTTAAATTCTAACAGGGCTTGTTCTCTCTATTAATGCAGGCTGAACACTTTTGAAAAATGGAATACATGCAAAGGGCTATATAAAATTTATTTTAAAATCTTATTTTGTCAAATATGGTCCATTAACTTTAAAAACTTAGTTACTTCAAATTTTCAATGTTCATTGATTATGGGGTCAGGAGGTATCCACAACTTTGCCAAAATATTCTGACGCCACGCCAGTATATTGGTAGCATCATATTTACAGTACACAATCATGTGGGATTGAAAGTAAAATCATAAATTGGATTAGCATTTAAATGTTAATATCTTTCACTTATGCTGGTTATCACAATTGAGTACAAATGGAAAATAGGTATACCTTTACAAGATGCAACAATGAATCACTTTTAGAATTATAATCTTATTTTTAGATTTTGGATTTAATTGAAGGGAAAAGAAATTGCTTAACCATGTTAGAATCATATTGTCATTGATCATGAATTCATGTTTAAAGTTACATCAACTTTCCAATTTTCCACTCAATTTCTCTTTAAACTTTGAATGAACTGCCTGATTTTTCACATTTTTGTTCAATTTAGAGAGTTAATTTCATGTCTGTTTACTTTATTCCATGTTAATTCCACACTTTTCCATTGTATTTTGCATTTTAAATCATGTCCTCTGTTGGATTTTATGTATAAGTCAAACTTCAAAGGCCAAACAGTGTTATCAATAATCCGTTAGGTTTCTAGACCTGGTTGCTAACAACTTTGAATTGTTATTCAAGATTTATTTGCTGTAAAGGGCTTTATATTATATAATACATTGGCGTATATTGTTGAAATTGCCATTGGAAATCTATATTTTCATATGACCTCAATTTATCAAAATCAGAAAATTAAACTTGAAAATTCACTTATGATAACCGATCACTTGGATATTTATTTTCGTGTTGATTTGACCCTTTCTCGACTCCCAAGTTCCTGTATTGCTCCAGAACCGGAGGCCTCAACCAAGAAATATTCCCCTCTTATTTAGAAGATTTTGAAAATAGTTTGTGGGGGGGGGTAGAGATTTGCTGACTTTACAAGCCAAGTTGAACATATTTTACTAGGGTTTGCTTAAAATAGGAAATAAAAACTTGATTTTAGGCAATATCTCAGGATGTTATTGGAAAAAACATGGGACTTAGACTTGCATCATTTTATTTCAACTGAAGGTAAAAAGTAGTGATAACTCAAGAGGTCATTTTTTATCAGAAAACACAAGGGGCAGATCCAAAAGAAAAAACAACATCCAAATCCAAGAAACAATGTGAACCTACAAACTGAGAGAACCAAAACTGTGAAACAGTTCTATTAAGCTAGTCAAGATTTTTTTAATGTTTGCATCAACATTTATCTATAATATCAATAGTTCCAAGATTTCGAATTCAGATTTTATACCCACACCATCTTTCCACCATGTACAACTTCTATTTCTTGCTATGCTATGCTATGAATTTTATAAATATTCCTGTTTTTCAATTCCATACAATATAGACTTTCTACTTCATGTCTGCATTCTTAGACTTCTGATCTGCTCAACCCTGTTCTAGTTTCTACAACATGACTGCCATTATTTTGCTGAAATTCCCAGTTCTGGGGTTACCATAGAAATAAAGATTAGATAATGGAGCTTATTGCTTATGATGACTCCACTTACAATAAATTATTCACTAAGGCTATTGTCCATCTTCCTGAAATATTGATAATGTTGATGGATTACTCCAGTATTATTGCATGTACTGAGAGCTATAATGACATGTAGTCTTAGTCTGTGAGACTAGACCAGACTGCCCTTGACATAACTGATATATTCTACAGAACAAGATACTAGGCCTAGATACAATGATATAATATACTTTTTGGCATCTGGTGTCAATTGTTTATTGCTAGATTTTTGGGATCGCATTAATTGCTGGATTTGTCTTTAATTTGGTGAGCGTTTTAATTTGGCAAATTTAAAAAATCACCAAATTAAATATATACAGTGTCTTGTAGATTACTTGCCAAAATCCCCAGGAATTTGACATATTTTTCATTCGTTGCACTCCCATTAATAAGAAATGTATCAAGAGGGTCGATGCCGTATAAAGGTCCATGTGCAGTATGGCAAGTGCTTTTAGACAGCCGTATCTTTCACCATGGGTACTTTCTGGCCATCAATACAGTGGTTTCTATTAAAACAATATTTTTTCTTTCAAGTGAAGTCCCCATGGTAGTAAAATTTCATTCTAACTCTCTGAGAAATTATGGATTAGGACCCCACCTTTGCACTTTTTTAAAAATGTAAGGCTCATTTTCTAAAAAGAGGATCTTGTTTTTTCTCAATTTAAACAGTCATATAACATGTATAAAAGTTTCTTCTACACTAGGCTATATTAACGATTTTTGAAAAGGGGATGCGGCGTATCAGTTAAAGTTAAAAAACACATATCCCATGTTATTTTCCCATAGGGAAAACTCGTGCTATCCATTGTTTTCAGCATAATTTTGGTCATTGAAAATTGATATCTTCAAAACTAGACTTTCAATACCATTCTACTTTTGAAGAAGTTATAGACCTCCTGTTGAATAATCTTTTCATGCAATAAAAACCATAAAAAGAAGATCCTCTTTTGAGTAAAAAGGTTCGACATTTTGAAAAAAATGTTGATATGGGGTCCTACTCATAAATTTTTTGAATTGTCCGATTGATATCTTTATCACCATGGGTACTTTACTTGAAAGAAAACATATTGTTTTAATAAAAAACACTGTATTGATGGCCAGAAAGTACCCATGGTGAAAGATATGGCTGTCTAAAATCACTTGCCATACTGCACAGTAATTAGTCCCCATAATCCCCTCGGAATGTGACTTGTTTTTCCTTTGGTGAACTTCAGGTTATAAGATGGCCATGGCAGTTTAAATTATTTAATTTAGAGTATTTTAAATTGTTTTCAACAATTAAGCATGATTAGGCAGGAGGGTAGGCTATATGATAGATATAGATATGAGATTTATCCCCTTGAAAAATCGCAAAATTAAATTAGACACCAATATCCCAAAATTGCCAAGAAATTAAGTAGCGCCAAATTGAAGACAAATAGGCTACAGTATAAAGTTGTCAGGCATTTGCCCGATATCATTAAGTTAATTACGAACTATTATCCAGTCATCTATATCTGGTTCTGTAGTAGTATTAGTAAATAGTTAAATTGTAAGGGAAATGATTAATCTTGGTTTTCAAAATGATTGTTATCAACATACAGGACATACACTTTCTTGTCTTTGTTGCAAGCCAGTAAGCCTACATGAATAATTGTAGCCTAGGCCTACATGAAAGTTGATCAAAATTAGAAGCAGAAATATTCCCAGTAATTTATGTTTTTGCGAGTTTTGAGAAAGGAGCAGGTAGGTTATCGCAAACAATTTCAGATGATTCTAACTTGAAGTATGAATATTTTCTGATCATGAACACTAATATCATTTAGACCCATTCATTATCTCCAAGAATATTAAGTTAATCAGACTAAGTGATATTAACACAAAAATGGACCATCAACGTACTTTTTAAAAATGTTGATCTAATTTACCAACCTATGTTAGTGTTATCATGTTGAATGCATAATTAGAATGTGCTTTGCACTTTGAGACATGTTCTATTTCCAAAAAGGAAAGGTGGATTCCTCCAACCAGGTACTTTAGATAACTAATTTGGATGACCAGAATGAGCTGAAACAAATGGATAGCATGAGTTTTTCAATGATTTGATATTCTTAGATGTTCAGAGGAATTCCCCGACGAAGGATTATGTCACAAGATCAAGGTTGGGAATTGGAATTAATCCAGGCTATTACTGGCAAGCTGTGCACTTTTGTGAAGTGTCAGGACAATGGATCTTTATATAGAACAATGCAAGATTAGGTGAAACATGAGATCAAGACTAAGATTTTAAGTTTGTTCAATATCTGATGAAGAATTTTGACAGTACATGTGAACTATGGGCACTATAAATGAAGTGGTAATTAAACCTGTTATCATCAAACTCTGTCAACCAAGTATTTTAGTCATACTTTGCCAATAAAATTATAAATACTTCAGAAACTGCAGATTTTCATGGAAAAAATGGTACTAAAATAGTAATTAGTAGCACTGTAGTAAGATTTGAATAAAAAATTGGCAAAGCATGAAAAAATATCTGGTGTACAACACCTTCAATTACATAAAATATTGTATTGTTTTTCATTCTTTATTTTAGATCTAAATTCCCTGCAGCTTTGTTGTACACAAAATATAAAATGTTAGGATTTCTGCAACAGTGTGATGCAGTTACATACAGTAATAAAGCTATTGAGTTTTGACTTAGATCAATTTTGATTTAATGTTTTTTAACTAAATGCTGTCAACTGCTTGTAAAGAGCAATCTTCAGATGAACTGTAGCAACAACTCCCGAATTGAGAATTATACTGAAGTCTTTGGTTGAGATAAAACTGAGCAAGTCCATTTAAGAGTTTTTGTTACAATTCAAGAAGCTGGATGAGAGAAGACCCTGTTTAGGCTTCCTCACCATCCTCTTCTTCCTCATCAAATTCACCCTCCTCTTCAGCGGTAGCATCCTGGTACTGTTGGTATTCAGATACCAAGTCATTCATGTTGGATTCTGCCTCTGTGAATTCCATCTCGTCCATACCCTCACCAGTGTACCAATGGAGGAAAGCCTTACGCCTGAACATAGCAGTGAACTGTTCAGAGATACGCTTGAAGAGCTCCTGGATGGCGGTGCTGTTGCCAATGAATGTGGCAGACATCTTGAGACCACGTGGGGGAATGTCACAGACAGCTGTCTTGACGTTGTTGGGGATCCATTCAACGAAGTAGCTGCTGTTCTTGTTTTGCACATTCAACATCTGTTCATCAACCTCCTTCATGGACATACGTCCACGGAACATGGCAGCGACGGTGAGGTAACGTCCGTGACGTGGGTCGCATGCAGCCATCATGTTCTTGGCATCGAACATCTGTTGGGTAAGCTCTGGGACAGTGAGAGCACGATATTGCTGGCTGCCACGAGATGTAAGTGGAGCAAACCCAGGCATGAAGAAATGCAGACGGGGGAATGGGACCATGTTGACAGCGAGTTTACGGAGATCTGCATTGAGTTGACCGGGGAAACGCAGGCAGGTAGTTACACCAGACATAGTGGCAGAGACCAGATGGTTCAGATCTCCATATGTTGGGGTGGTGAGCTTCAGAGTACGGAAGCAAATGTCATAGAGTGCCTCATTATCAATACAGTAGGTCTCATCTGTGTTCTCAACAAGCTGATGTACTGAGAGAGTGGCGTTGTATGGTTCTACAACAGTGTCTGATACTTTTGGTGATGGCACAACTGAGAATGTGTTCATGATTCTGTCTGGGTATTCTTCACGGATTTTGGAGATGAGAAGTGTTCCCATTCCAGATCCGGTACCACCTCCAAGGGAGTGAGTAAGCTGGAATCCCTGAAGACAATCACAGCTCTCAGCCTCCTTCCTCACAACATCAAGGACGGAGTCTACAAGTTCAGCACCTTCTGTATAATGTCCTTTGGCCCAGTTGTTTCCGGCACCACTTTGTCCAAACACAAAGTTGTCTGGTCTGAAGATTTGTCCAAATGGTCCGGACCTGACGGAGTCCATGGTACCTGGCTCCAAGTCGACCAATACAGCACGGGGTACATATTTACCTCCTGGAATGACACAAATAACATTTAATATAACAGATGCCAGACTTATGCAATGTATTATTTTTATTAATTTAATTATATAGATGACTAATGTTTGTTCTTTTATTGTAACGCTGTCATGGTGGCAACTTTTTTTATATTTATAAAAATTTGATCAGGAGACCGGTTTCAATCACGAATGTTTGCATTGCTATTCAACTTCATTTACTTCTTATCAGTAATTAGAATGACAGTTATCTTGACCTGAATAAACATTACAAATGACCGTTACAAAGTCAAATAGAACATTTCTTACCTGTGGCTTCATTGTAGTAGACATTGATTCTCTCTAGCTGAAGATCTGAGTCTCCATGGTATGTACCTGTGGGGTCAATACCGTGCTCATCAGAGATAACTTCCCAGAACTGAAAAAGAGAAATAAGTCGTAAGAATTGGAATGTGGATTTGTGTCCAATCTTGACAATCTGACAGTGGAATGTCATAAAATTGTTGAACAAAAAGCCCATAAGAATGACAATTACAAAATGATCTTACAAAGTGATAGATTTCATTGCTAAGAATGGAATTGAACAGGAAATGACACGTGATTAGCATGCGGTTTTCATAAATTACCGAAATTGATGGGTTCATCGATAAACTTGCCCACAATTTTTGTTCCAGAGACATGCATAATCAATATCTCAAGTATATTATCATGTAAAATGGATCATCATACTTTCAGGGCTGACTAAAGCTACACAAAATCTGTTAATTTTGGGCGTGATTCACCCGCCATTTTTTGGCCATTGATTTTCCCTTTGAGATCCAGGTTATTTTACCCTCAACAGTTCAATGATTAAAACAATTTATACCAATAAAAACGAGTACTTACTTTAGCTCCGATCTGGTTTCCGCACTGTCCGGCTTGCAAGTGAACGATTTCTCTCATGTTGGTTTGGTGGTGATAATTTAATCTGGCAAAGGAAATGTGTCTTCTTTTTCTGAAGTTTGCGTTTTCAACTGTCAGATTTGAACGGTCAATTCACTTATATACGCAGCTGTCAACATCTGTGCGTTTCCAGGCGATTGTAATTGACGTCACTGATAAATATTTGATTTGCCAAGCAACTCTACCTTATATAGCAAAAAAGGCGGAGCTTATGCAGTTACTCCTCCTTTGATGGACGGGTCGTGTTGGTAGGCGCGCAAACAAACACAGAAATATTTGGCGGTTTCCAAGGGTCAATCACTAAATTTCGTTTTGTGTAAAAATTATTTGTTTTAAACCGGGTACAACTTTAAAACCGATTATTTTAATCTGCAAAAAATACTGGACTATTTTGCCTGCTCTTTTGCAGGGTTCTGTCACTGTGTTCTGAGACCTGAGTCTCAGTCTGAGACTAACAGCAGCAGTGTTCAAGCCCCGGGGTTCAAGCATTACAATCAATCATTATCATTCTGAGAAATCAAAAGAGCAAGCCAAAGTATTTATTAAAATTGTTAATGATTTTAATTCATGAGAAGAGTAACACTAAGTATATATCCAGAGTAAGTTTACCAATTTGATTAGCTTTCTAATCCTTTGGATTATTTCAGCATTAGTTTTTCATGGTTTTGTTCTTTGCGCCATCTTTACAAAGTTGCGGGAAATCCGAAAATATTTTCAACTTTTCATTTAGTTTCTTGGTTCTTGCTGCTCGTCATGCTACAACCATTGTATCTGGAATACAGATATAAAGGAAAATATAATCGAGGTCTGGTGATTATAAATCGACAATCAAATTGTGTTTTGGTTACAAATAAGAGCGGTATAAAGGTAATATTTTTATTCTTGGTGGGTGATAATTGAGTGAAAATTGAAAAAAAATTGATAATCGGAAGACCCAAAAGAACCACAGAGATTTGTATGGAAGATCGGGCAGAGCCCTCTGTTTACACAACTATATCAGGCCTGTCAACTTGGGAACATCTAACCTGAGTGACTTACAAATCCTGCCCTGTCAACCCTCACGCATTAGGCGTGATTGTCACCCATTTGCTGGAAAAATAGAAATCACGCATCAATTTAGCGTGTATGATCAAATATCACGCAAATCACGCATTTTGTTGATATTTTTAAAAATCGTTTTTTGTGAAATGCTGACACGGTAAAATACCGAACGGTGAAAAAAAGCGAACGCATTCCGTTCGGTCTTTGCACGCGATTGCCGTTTATGTCACGCATTTTGTACAAAATATGTGTATATATCACGCATTCGTTTCAAAAAAATTTACACCTACCCCCCCATTCCCCCACAAATTATGTTTTTATTGGAATGTGTTCTTGAATAATTACACACAATGCAAAACCTGAAGAGAACATTTTGATACCTCTTTTCCTTATTGATCTTCTTTGTTTACTTTTGAATGAGAATTATCATGTTTAATGTTTTAATCAAATTCAAAATTGATTTTTCTTCAAGATGATGCTATAAACATATATACTTTAATCAAAATCTTTTTGAAATATAGCCAAAAAAGGGAAGCATGGCACCGCTCATCTTGAAGTTCTCATGTAATAACACAAAGTTGCATACCCTTCTATTGAATGCCCATGTTGACAATAATCAGGTAAAATGCATATCTACATGACATATTCTGTCACGCAAAAAACTGGTGTGACTTCAAATTTTCCAGCAAATGCGTGACAAACACGCAAATTGCGGGACAGTTGGACGGCCTGCTATATGAACATGATAATGTTAATTATCCGCAAAAGGTGTATAAGTCCATTTGAAACAGACAGAGACACAAAGTTTCACAGTTTCTTCACTAGCTCTACTCTTTCTGTATTCCCATCACATCACAATATAACAGCTCCAAAAACTTGATAGTAGCCATCTAGGCCTACCCTCACAATCACAGGCCCAGGAATCAAGAGTTCAACCCCCACTCACTATGTATCATATAAACGGTAGTTGGAAGTTCAATACAATAAGTAATAAATATCAGATTAGGAAAGATCCATGTAGAAATTCATTTCTACATGGATACTGCGCAAGCGTCCCGCAATGTGATTGGTCAGAAGGTGGAGCGCGGATCATCTTACGAATGTTGCAGTGCCAGCCCTGTCAACCCTCAAGCATTAGGTGTGATTGTCACGCATTTGCTGGAAAAATAGAAATCACAAATCAATTTAGCGTGTATGATCAAATATCACGCATTTTGTTGATATATTTTTTAAAATCATTTTTTATAAAATGCTGATACGATAAAATACCGAACAGCGAAAAAAAGCGAACGCATTCCGTTCGGTGTTTGAATGTGATTGCCGTTTATGTCATGCATTTGGTCCAAAATATGTGTATATATCATGCATTTGTTTCGAAAATATTGGCACCTACCCCCCAAGTTGACAGGCCTGCAGTGCTTACATTCGTATTATCTTTGAAATGCATCTAATGTGGTTTCAATTTTACCTTATTTATATGACATACAAGGGTAGGGTAGACATTTTCTTACCAATACAAAGCACATAGTAGAAATGAATACCAATCCAGTTGTGACAATTTTCAATTATCAGACCCAGACATAGAACAACCAGAGATATGTGTTGCCATTATCACAGGCATTACCATTGTTTAGTATTCCCAGCTAGCTAGATGTTGATGCATGTACAAAAAAAGCTGACAATATCAAAGCGTGAAAAAATTTCCCACCTAGTTAGCAGTGTAGACAAGTTTCTTATCGAAAAACTAATCTTTTTCTTAAAAAATTAAGTTTTAGTTACTAATACTATAGAAAAGAAGGTCCATGTCCGAGTCCAATGATTGTAAGTTAATATCATAATGAATTAAAATATTTAAGGGTCATTAAAATCGAGAATTACTGCTACAAGCCTTTTAAAACAATGAAAAATAATATATGGTTGCTTACATATTTTCTAGGTCATTTATGAATACCAAGATGCCATACAGGCAATATGTATAGATGGAGAATCAAGGTCTTTATTTACCGCTACAACAAGTGGTGACATCTTTATGTCTGGCCTTCCAGTAAAATCAAAGAGGTAATGCCATTTCTTAAATGAATGAATGTTTGTTTGTTTGTTCGTTTGTTTGTTTGGGTTACATGAGTGAAAAGAATAAAAAATTGTGATTTCCTAAATACTGATTCATTATTATTTTACAGAAAACGAGAGAATAGTGAGCCTTTAGCTAACCAGAGTAGCCAAGACATATTTGCAGACTTGTTAGAAACGCCGTGTCCAGAGCATGTTGAAGTTACACCACTAACAAATGAAATCATCTCGGTCCATAGACACATTTGTAAGGTAAGTTTCTCTATTCAAAATCATCACATACAGTATACAGGGATCCAAATGTCCTCCACTTCCCAGTGTTTAGTTCCTCTCAGATTACATGTAGGAGATGTTGTCTGGGAGTCCTGTGCTTAAATGATGTAAACATGAAAGAGAACAGAATGTTCAATTGTTGCAATGTCAGTTTCAATTCTTCACTCTGTAGCGTTAATGAGAGGGGCGTATGCTTTTCCCTGTCTATTTCCAGAGAATAAACAGGCCCGTAGCCAGGATTTGCCAAGGGGGGGGTTCAGTTTTCTAAAATTTCTAGGGGGGGTTCACATTTGACAATTTTGGCCCAAATATGGCTAAAATCACTTGAGAAGTGCTCAAAATGGTGAAAAACTGCACGATTTTGAAAGAATTTTGGCCAGGTGGGGGATTCGCCCGAACCCCCTTGGCTACGGGCCTGATAAAGAACTATTTTTCTATAATAAAAATTGTTTGGATACCTCAAATTGTTTCTCATTTGACTTTGACACAATTGATTTCTTTGTGTACCCAGTTCACTTCACAATACATGATATACTGTATGCAGTACAACCATACTGTTCTAATTTCAGATAGATGGCGTCTGTGATTTACTTGTCATCAGTGGTATACTTGTTGCTGTTACCATGGAAACTAAGCCATCTTATTACTGGAACATTCTCTACAAAGGCATCACTGATTTACAATCATCAACTTCTCCTGAAAGCTTCTGTAAAATACCAATTGATGAACATGTCATTGATTCTAAAACAAGGTTCGATGCTAAGATATATTGCTGCTTACCTGAAAGTGAGAAAACAGACACCAGCGAGATAAAACCAGGAATTTTTTATTTGAATAAAGTAATGTATAATCACTTATTTGGGATCGATGCAAACCTTCTTGATACACCTATTATTTTGATTGGTTTACCAAGTGGTCTTTTGTTATGGTTGCCTGTGGCAACTCATCAAATTACTGTGCCATCTTTATTGTGTGATCTAAAACAACCAATTCATGGTTTGAAATATGTCCAATTACAAGCTTCTGAAAATCAACATATTGAATCTCTGATGATATTTGGCACCATGGGGAAAGTGGTTGCCATGACAACAGATGTAAACAAATCAAGTGATTTGGTCACAAAGGAGTTTTCAATACCAGGAAATGTAGTGACAAGTTGCATTGCATATGATACACTCTACCACAGCACTGGTGTTGAATTGTACAAGACTGAAATTCAAGAGATGCTTTTACAACAACCAAAAGACAAGACACCAATCAAAAGCCTTACATTAGGCTATGGAGCAATTGTTGCCATAACAACCAAGACAATATCACAACAACCACCAGTGGTTACCATAGCAATGTGCACTAAAACAGGGAAAACACTGCACATTGATCACCCTATTGAACAAAAGGCCCAAAAGTGTTCTAAACAAAATCAAGGTGCTCGAATCAAAGATCTTCTAGCTGGTATAAACAACATTGGTCAACAACTGACCTATCAGAAAGAAATAGATCAGGTAAAACTTTATGATCATGTTTAAAATAACAGAAATAAAAGTTTTATACTGGACTGAAAGGATAATAAGATTTCAAAATTATAGTTTCCAGCTGCTTTCAATCAATCTAGGAAATTCAATATTAAAAAGAAAGATTTTATTAACATTAAATCTCATGATAACCTCCATCAATACATTCCTCAGTATGAAATCAAATTAGTAATAACATGTTCACTGTTCCACAGCTGGATGACTCAAAATGCAGTTAGCTTCATTCAATATGGTTGCCAAAATTCTTTCATTTTGACAAACCTCCGATATTGAATCAGGATTCTAAAAGTTCCATGCAAACTACTAAAACTACGATTGTAAACAACCACAGCTAAATGCTCTAACAACTATGATATGGGTGAATTTTAATGAAAACAGATTCACTTAGAATGACTCTTACTGAAGTTGTCATCATCAACTTCAGTTAGAGTCATTCTAAGTGAAGCCGTTTTCTTTCAGATTCTCTAATATTGCGGGTGTTAAGGCATTTATTTGTGTTTTTTTACAATCATAGTTTTATTAGTTTGACGCAAAACTTTTGGAATCAAGATTCAGCTTAGTTTAGCTGAAATCAAAGGTTTGTCGAAAACGAAAGAATTTCGGCAACCATATTGAATGACGCTAATGCAGTTAGAGTCATCCAGCTGTGGAACAATGATGTTGAAAAATTTCAGATAAGGAACTTAACACGATTCTAAATATACATACAGAAAGGACATTCCTTTTTTTCAGGTGCAGAATAGCGAACTTGAGCAACTACACTTGGCATCTCATCTTGCTAGTTACCATAGCAACCATTCTGGATTGACACCAAGCAAGCAAAACCAACATTCAGGAATAGACTGTTGCATAAATGTAACAACAGAAAACTATGGATCGCATATCAGTTACAAGTTGGTAGCAACCATTGAAAACCAAACCCATATAACATTGTCAGAAAAGTGGGTTTTCTTAGTGACTCTTCATCAAATGTCTCATAAAGAACATCCAAAACAAAAAGTTGCATTAAAATCCAAATCTGTACAAATCTCTCGTCTACCACCAAAAGGATTCCAAAGATTAGACCTTGGAATAGATCAGCAAACATTGGAGAGTTTACCATTGAATGGATCATGCTCCTTAGTGTACACATGTGAACCTTCACATGGTCTCCATAGCAACAATGCTCAACATAGCAATATTAAGCACAGTAATGTCCTAGTCATTCCCATAGCAACTCAAGTGTTGAATATCACACATTTTATGAGATTGAACAATGATGCAACTACAAACCCCACCAAATTGCAAAATAACTGTAGAATTTACTCAGATTCAGAATTGGCTCAAATTCTAAAGGAAGTTGCAGGATGCCAACCTGGCACTCACCCGAATCTGGAAACTGAGGAAGAGACTTTGGGATTTGTTGGTTACCATAGCACTTCCATAGTTGTACCAACTGAACAGTTGAAAGTAGACCTCAGAAGTGAAGGAGTAAATTGTAAAAATGGTAAGCAGTTGACCATTTGATGGGATTCACAACTAACAATACTGTGATACATGTTTCATTGTTAAAAATAATTGTGCATTTAGATGTTTAGATGACCCTGTACTATTCACCATTTGATATGAATTTGATAATCTAAAATTTGCATTTGGTGTTTTTATTGCAGACACAGATGTATGTAAATGTCTTATATGGAAACTCTTCCCTCATCTCTGCGAAGTCATCATGACCTCACAAGTCCGTCTGCTAACTCACAAAGGTCACCATATCACCTTGGGGGTCAAGGTTGGATCAGGAGAACAGGTTGTTATAGAGATACAGTCAGAAAATCTCCAAGCAATGTGTGAAACATCAATAGCAATAAAGCAACACATACAGGTTTGTTTTGTTTCTTGTAAATACATTTGAAACAGACATATTCACCATGTTTTTTGCCTCATTATAGTGGCCAAGCCACCCAACATCATTTTTGTGAAATAGCCTAAGATCTTTGTTCCTTTAACTTTTTATACTATTTAAATTTTTCTACCAGGCAAATACAAGTAGCAGAAAACATTTTTAAACTTATATATAAAGTTTGATGAAGTCTTGTTTAAGATTTTCACCTTTCTTTCGGTTTAGTAATGAGCTCATATTCCACTGTATGTAGTAATAAGCCTATTCATCTGGTCATCTACAGTATTTCAATTTTACATTTCTGTACATACAGGGGTTGAAGATGAGAATGCTGAACATTCCAATGGTAGAAGAGTTGAGACCCTTCATTCACCAAACTGAGGTTAGTGTTTAGAACATATGATAAGGTTACTGACATGTATAAAGAATAGAGAAGAATAGGTGATTCTTAAGAAGGAACATAGTTGGGGAATGGGGGTCAAGTCAAAATTTAATTCATTATGTTTTATTAGGGATGTTGACTTATTAACCCGACTCAGCGCTTTGTCCATTAATGTATCACTTGTCTATTCTATCTAACATTTTACTGAGACTAAAGGTCAAGTTTTAAACCTAGCATACAATAAATGAGTGCTATGTCTCATGCAAAATGCATTTAGTCCTGTGCTTAAATCCTTTTCACAAATGACAAAACAGTTTTTATATCACCACCACAAGTGATCACATATTGTTAAAGTCTCCAACTATTTTTGTGGACTGTGTTCGGTGGTTGACATCTGTAATATATGTCAAGTTATGACATTTTGCATGTTAATGCATTATATAATACACAATCGAGCATGACATTCTTTGTATATTTTAGAATAGTATTCTTCATATTTCAGTGTCTGAGAACAGATCTGCTGTCTGCCCAGGAAGCGGTGTTGCTTGGAGACAAATCTGTAACGACAGCTGATGTCACACAACTCTACCATAGACTGAGGCAGATCCATATTCCACATACATGATGTCATAGAACAATATCACATGTGACACAACATTATGTCACACAGTTACATTTGTATCTGTGAAGAGTACCAACAAAAATGGAATGAGTTTGATCTATCTGTCACACCAGTTAATTTCAACATACAGTGTGTTAACTTTATGTCAGCATTGCTGAGTTGATCATGATCTGTTTAACTTTATTTAAAAGATATTTTCCATAACACATCACAATATATTAGAACCTTCGTGATTTCATGAGGAATTATAATTTTGTGAGTGGTCAATATTTCTTCAGCATTTGTAACTGAGGTATCAATTCACACTTTGCTAAATAGTTTCCACTTTAACAAATGTATTATTTACAAACTTTAAATTGTGTAATACAGAGGCCATTAGCCAGCTTTTGCCAGGTGGGTTCACTTTGTAAAAAATATACAAGGGGGTTCACATTTGAGCATTTAGTGTGCTCAGAATGGTGAAGAACTACCAGATTTTGAAAGACTTTTTGGTTAGGGGGTTCGCTCGCACCCCCAACCCTCTACCTCCCGACTTCAAGCTTGATTCAGCTATTGTAACAGTGCTGGGGACAACTGTTTGTATTCAATACCAAATGTTTGTTTGTGGTGCATGTATTACTGTAGATTGGGTTAATTTGGCGTCACTTAACTTAGTGATTTTGCCATTTTTGGCAAAACTACTATATCTAGTAATTTATTATTGAAGCAACTCCACTGAGCCAATTTAGAAGTGACATGTTCTGATTATAACCCTTATCCTTTTCAAATTTTGTAAAAACTAAACCAGAGATGTCTTAAATACATCACACAAAATTCCTGGGATTCTCTCTAAATTTTGGAGAAGATGTAAATTGGCGGTTTTTCTATTTCGCCAAATTAACTCAATTTACAGTAACAATTTTGAAGAAATCATCCAATGCATACTGCTGCATTATACTACTGTAATCTCCCTTGCTAACTCAAAATATTATTAAGAACACATTAGTTTATGTTTTCTTGAATTTTTATAATTTATTTAATTTACTTCATATTGTACAAGAGAAATTGAGTCATAGTCTTTACTAACATGTGATTTGAAGACACCAGGTCATAATCTGATACTGTTTTCTTTCTTATATTTAATAAATGATGTAATAGATTTAAAAAGAGAACAATTTAATGTTTATCTGTCAAACTAATCAAATGGATGATTACATATAATGCTGGATGTACACATGTGTATATTCTTAACAGATAAATAAAGTTCATAACATTTTATGCATCAGTTTTGTCATGAATGGTCTCTTAGTAGTGCAGAATTGAATATAGTTAAAGGGTCTCCAGTGAGTATCAGATAAGACTTTGTCTTATATTTTGTCGACATATCCTCATGTAAATATTTACATTTTTACAATAATACCAGTACGTGATTATGAAGTTCTTGGTATTGATCTGCCGTTACATTATTTTTTTACCAATAAATTTTCAAAGTGAATAAATGTTGTATAAATCAGAATGTGCTTTAAGTGCACATATTTATGCCTCCCATCCCTGGTGATCATTTGTTCATCATTCAAGTCAAGTACTTGATTCTCTCAATTCAAGTCAACTGTTATCCTCAAAAAGTCAATTATTTAATTTTTTACAATACAGAAGCATGTTGTGACTTTCATAATATAACACATTACTTAAAATACATACATGTACAATGCATATAAATTTCAATACCAAATAATATTGAGCATAAAATTAGTTTCTCAATTAGCTACATAAAAAGTTCAAAATCAATCAAGCCACATTCTGTTCTAATGAGTCGGGAAAATTAAAAAATGCATGACTTTAGCACACTATCCAAAATTGGTCACAACTTGGTAGCCTAATTAAGAAATCTTACTCTGCACTCACATTGATTATTCATGAAATGAGTGTATACCAGTAACCATAGTCAGAGTGAGTACCCTCTGAGCACAGGTTATTTTTGCAATGATTTTACAAGTATGAGTTATAAATGATAATGTTCTTGTACATTTCTATACATTGGTTTCATGCATGGGTTAAAATTAGTTTATCATATGCACAGGTTAATTGGCAGCAATGGATTTATACTCAAGTTACAAAGAAATTATGCAAAAGTTACAATGATTTTATACACAAGCTATTTCCAACAGACTGCATCACTAAACTTAATGCATAACTTGTTGTGTCTATACATTTATAATATGCACTTTAATACAATATCTTTTATGTACAATTTTCAATTTTGTATGCCGCCCTAGTTACCATGGTAACTCATTTCAATTTTAACCATTTTCCTGTTTTCAATATGACTGCTACTGGAATAAATGGTACCATGATATAATGCTCAAATTCGAGTTAATCAGTGTCCCAGTTGACCAGATTAGATACCTATAATTCTGGGGCCACAATTGTCAGAATAAAGATTCAAATTTTACAGCACAAATGGCAAAAATGAAATTATTCTTTCAATTTTAGAACCATAATTTACTCATTTAATAAAATCACCCAGGAGGGTGCTTTATGCCTGGCCATTGCAATATGTCATTCTGCTAGAGTACACAAAACGAAATCTAATAAAATTTGAATTCCTTTAATACACGTACATTATAGACATTTTCAAGTTGCGTAAGTGTGGCATTGAAATGACAGGACAGGTCAAAATATCACTTTTGCTCAACTGACCCCTGTTAAAACCTTATAGTACATTCTTGAATGTCAATTACATGTACATTATTGAAAACTTGATTTTCTGTTTCTACTTTCACAAAAATTTGATATTTGAAATTTTAGCCAGTCCCTAATTTGTTGAAGACTCAACCACAATGCTACAAAACATTATATTAAACTACTATATATTACACTATTGTTGATATCCCTGTGCCCCGGGGGGTGTTGGATAGTTTCCTGCAGGGCGGGGATATTGTCCATATGAGGGTCCCCGAGAGTATGGGTTAGCACCTCCAGGCTGGGGTTGTGAGGGAGCAGGCTGGGCAGCTCCCTGGGGGGCAGGGTAGGCAGCTTGGGCTTGTCCTCCATACTGAAACAGAACAAAACATTGTAGTTTACATAATTATAATAAAAAATCCATACCAATACGATTTTAAGTACATGTACTCTAAAGATACAATGACAAAATTATTCAAATTGTCTTAAATCGCAAATGCTGACAGATGGACAAACAGACTATCGGATGAACTATGAAGACAGACAACTCAATATCACAAAAAAGTGATAGTATCCAACCTTACAGTATCCAACACTTAAAGTCTTGTATAATAGGCCTGTATTACAGCAATAACAGACACAGTAAAACCTGTCTTAGTGAACACCTGTCTCTAGTGGACACTCTTCCTCTGTACATACTCTGCTGACTTCTGTATAAATTACTCTCTCTGTAGTGAACACATACCAACGTTGAACGTTTTTGCTTGGCAAAAAATGTTCTATAAACACAGATTTTACTGTATATGATATTCTCTCAAATATAAACATAAAACACATGTACATCGTGTTTAATGGACCATTTTATAACCAATTACTCTACAATCCTTACTTGCTGCTGTTGATTATATGCAGACTGTTGTCCAGCATACTGCTGTGGCTGCTGTTGATATTGCTGTTGCTGCTGTTGTTGTTGACCATATTGGGAGGTTGCGGTGTATGATGGGTTAGTGCTGGGCTGGGAGGCTCCTGAATAACAACACAGTACGAAAAACGTAAAATTGTATAACACATAACACAATTAAATCAAATCTCTGATGGCTGTTGAATCCTGCGCTGTATTCAGATTGTGTGGGCTTTCAGGCTTTAACACTATGTATGATGGGTTATTATTAGGCCTAAAAGTCGAACAATTCTGACCTCATTTTAGGATAAACATTAGATTTTAAGGACAAAATGGGTATTTATTAATATTTGATGAGATATCTCAATCATTGTTTTCAACGAAATCAAAAAAATCCAGATTGTAAGGAAAAACATTAGCATACTTTTTTGAAAAGTGAGATTTTTCAAATAACTTAACAAGCTTACCACTATATGACTGCGAAGATGCAGTGGCAGATGGATAACTCTGGGATGCCTGAGGTGGAAAGTAGCCTGGCTGTTGTGGTGTAGCCTTTGGCTGCTGGGATGCGCTAGATGCTTGTGTGGCTTGTGGGTAACTAGACTGCTGTGCCCCTTGTTGTTGTTGGCCATAACCTGATATGAACAATTCCAAAGATATGTATTATCTCTGTTTACCCGACCAGAAGTTTCTTTTTGTTTTTTCTTATTTAAACACATCTAAGTGATAAAGGAAAAAAGCAAACAGAAGTTATATGCAGTTATTGTTAAAAAGTGCAAATATAAGATTGACAGTCACTTTTTTGTGGGTGGGTATAATTAGTACAAGCTTCACCTTTACAATAGGTCCCCCATACATTATTCTTCCAAGGATTTTTTTCTATATTCAGTGAAAATTCTAATTTTTACTGATTTTGGCTAAAGATATCCAAAATGGTTAAATATCAATTTTCAAGATCTAAGGGATGCAAATACATTTACAGCTTGGTGTAGTTATAAATTCCCAATTGCGAGATCCCTCATCCCCAGACATATACCTTGAGGGTACTGCTGCTGCTGTTGCTGGGGAGGAGCCTGTGCGGGTGGCTGTCTCTGGTGTATGGGGGTCGCTGACCCATGACTTGACACACTATCTGGGGTACCTGGCCTAAGACCTGCTGAATCTGAGGCTAATAAAAAGAGGTGAGAAAGGCGAGGCTCAACAAAATGTTTCAGAAAAGTAATATGATAAAAAACTGTGCATCAGAACACCTCTGAAATGCACAACTCAAAATGTGACAGCTTTTGTATTACCTCCCGATTCTACCAAAATCAGACAATTTTTATCAGAACCCATCGCAATGCGAAGACTTTTCAGATTTTCTGAGTTTCATTGACATGTTACAAAGCCTCATAATACAAGCGCCTTAATTTTAGATATGATTGAATATACAGATATTGAGGATATACCAGGTCTTTTGATATGTTTAGATTTTGAAAAGGCATTTGATTCGTTAAATTGGAACTTTATGTACAAAACAATCGAAAAATTTAACTTTGGAGAAAATTTTAAAAAATGGATCAAAATTTTATATCAAAGTCCAATTATGAAAATAAAAAATAATGGTTGGTTTTCAGATAACATTCAAATGGAAAGGGGTGTACGCCAAGGCTGCCCAATATCAGCTTTATTATTCATTTTAACAACAGAAATTTTGACTAATGTAATAAAAAATGAAAAGAACATAGAAGGTATTAAAATCGAAGCAAAAGAGGTAAAAATTATACAGCACGCAGATGATACAACCCTGTTAGTATCAAATGAAAATTCTTTGAACATTGCACTTGAAAAAATTAAATCATTTTCAAAAGTCACAGGATTGAATCTAAATATTAAAAAAAGTAATGGAATAAAACTTGGAACTTTTCAAAACAATGAGAGGGAAAGCATTTCAGGCATTCACTTTCCAGAAACCCCAATCAAATGCCTAGGCATTTATATTGGCCAAAATAAACCACAATGTGAAACTCTAAATTGGGAATCAAAAATAAAAACACTAAGGAAAACACTTAACATTTGGAAATGTAGAAAACTTACTCTTTTTGGAAAAGCCCAAATTATAAACTCCTTAGCAATATCTAAATTAATTTACAATTTTTCTGTACTCGAAATGAATGATAATGTAGTAAAAGAAATAGACAGCATACTCTTTGATTTTCTGTGGAATGGGAGAGACAGAATAAAAAGAAAAACTGTAATACGAATGGTGAAAAATGGAGGCTTAAACATAATTGATACTAAAATAAAAATACAAAGTTTAAAATCAGTTTGGGTTAATAAACTTCTAACTAGTGAAACATCCTGGAGACTTTTTCCAAGTTATTTGATAAATAAAACAGGTCTATGTTTAAAAACATTTCTAAAGTGTAATTTTAACCACGATGTAGCACCTAAAGAGCTGTATATATTTACAACTTTTTACAAGGAAGTGTTCTACTCTTTTAATAAGTGCAAAACATACAGGAATAATAATGAAATGAACAATGATGACATTTTAAGAGAAATCATTTGGCTAAATAAAAGATTTTTATCTAAAGGCAAGACAATACTATATAAGAACTGGATTAAATCAGGTTTTATATATGTTAAAGATTTCTTCAATAATGATGGAACTTTTAAAAGTAGTAACACTTTCATTCAAATTTTAGAAGAAAAAAGAAACTGGATGGTAGAATTAAGTATCCTTAAAGATACAATTATGAAAATATGTAAATATATTGGAAAGGAAAATTTACCTTACCTAAATGAGAATAACAAACCGATTTTTTTAATGGAAAATCATTTTGTAGATATACAAAATAAGAAAGCTAAATTCTTTTATAATATCCTACAAAATCAAATATCTGAAAGGAATATGAATGAATTTAATTGGAATAAGTTATTTGGTATAAAGCAACAAATCTGGGAAGATATTTATCAGCAAAAGGTAAAAGACATGACATACAAATATTTCTCTGAATTTAACTTCAAAACCATTCATAACATACTGGCATGTGGAAGCACAGTGTCAAAATGGAACAAAAATGTTTCAAGCATGTGTCTTATCTGCAATAAAACTCATGATATGAAACATATGTTATATGAATGTAAAAAAGTAAAACATATATGGCAAGAATTAGGTATACAATTAAAATGTGAAATCATGTATAAACATATTGTTATAGGATTTTTATCTGGAAATAACATCACCAACTTCAGGAATGTCATTATAACAATTTTAGGGATCACAATATATAACAACTGGTGTAAATTTTCTGAAGACAATAATAGTTGGAAACTATTTGACATTCGAACAACTTTCATAAGAAATTTACAATATTATTCCTGCTTATTTAAACTCATAAAAAAGGACTACAATTTGTCTATATGGATTGAAAACATCATTAAGAACTTTTGAAAAAAAAAAACATTTATCTTTATCAAGATTTTTGTAAAACAATTTTTGTGAATCCTGCTTATACGCAATTTATTGTATTGTCATTGTACATGTTTAATATTTGTGAATAAAAAAAAAAAAAAAAAAAAAAAAAATACAAGCGCCTCAATGTTTTGTGTCAGTTACAGCAGTGTTCAATTCAGACAGGTTTCATTGTACATTGCAGTGCTATAAGTGTATAAGTGTTGTAGACATCACTGCAAATGTTAATGGAAGAGAAAATGAAATAATCGAAGCAAGAATATAGTATCTTTCATAGAAGTGGTGACATGTGATATTTTACAAATATTTCATTCTGTTGGGTAAATTTTTGGTCATCTTAGTGGTTTTTTGGACATCTCAGATATTAATGAAATATTTGTTTTATCATCAATGATTAGAATCCCTACTTTACTATAAGGCAAGAAATGTTTATCAGTGTTAACAAAAATTTACAACAACATACATCAAAAAATCAATTTTAACTTTACATTGAATGAAAAAGGTCACGGCAAGGAAATGCACTCTGATCAGTATGCCTTTTAAACTAGAGGGAATACATCTTATTTTTCATTCATGTGCTTGGCATTGACCAATCAGCTAGAGAGTGGGTATCATGGCAATGAATAATGATGACATTTACCCAATTCAGGTATTCTACCAAATATGAAATGTGAATGAGTCCTATTAGGTAAAACCTAAAATAATTACAAACAAAATTTTGTTTCAATACAAGTTATTCCTTGCCATGTTGCCCTTCACTGAAAATCTTCAAAATAAATTTCACCCTTCATTGATGCATACCTTCAGCTGCTTGATGACCAAATGAGCTTAAAACTGCATTCTGGGTAGCATTTTCCTCCTGTGACTTTTGCTTAGATAGTGGGTCAAATTCTTTACTCTCAAGCGCAGTTGCAGGCTTATAAACAGAAGTTGGTGCTGGGGATGGGTCATTTCTTGTTGTTGAGTCAGGGACTTGGTTATTTGCTGCAAAATCAGAAAATAACATGTAATACATCAACCTGATGATTGAACAACCCTCTCTGGCCCCAGCCTGTAGCCAGGGGTATTTGTCAAGTGTTTCTGGGCCAACTTGTCAAATGCGAACCCCTTTTTTGAATTTTTTTAAGAGTGAACACCTCAAAAATCTCTGGACCTATTTTGCAAAAGTATCAATTACCAAATTGTGTTCATAAGAGCCCCTTTGGTGATATGACCATTAAATATGCTTCAAAATTTGCTAGACACCCCATTTAAAAACGCAAACTACTATTTTCACTTCTTCAGTTGAAAAGCCTATTGGATTTCATCACAAGCAGGTATCAGGTGGTTTTATCTCATTAACTTTACTGAAATTACTGTTTCCATGTTTAATTAAGAATGATTTTAAATAATTTCAACTGTTGTCTTCATTCACTTTCCCTGTTTTCATGAATTCCAAATATATCCCTGAACCCCATCTAAATCCATCCTTGCTCCAGGGGTATTACACTTGATTCCAAAATTGAATTGAAAGATAAATGAAACCCTTTGAATAAAAGAGGCCTAAATCTACCATTCAGCCACTTACTTTGTTCTTCAACTACAGAGGCGCTGGAAATTCTAGGTTGTGGTTCAAGTCTGTCAAGTAAATGATTAACACGATCTCTAATATCCTGAAGTTCTGATTTCATATGTTTAATCTCATCATCCTCAAGTGGTTTTGGAATATCATTAACTGAAATATAAATGTTTTAGAATATCATTTATTGAAATATAAAGGTTTGGAATATCATTTAGGAAAACATAAAACATTTACACTGAATATAAGCTTTCAATTGTTAACTGAAATATAATGGTTTCAAAATATACAATGTATGTTGAAATATAGAGAATTCAATTTGTCAAACAACAGTTTCAATATATAACTTATTGAAACAAAATGCAATAAATCACTTATCACAGAGGTCAAAGGGTTAGCACAGATGGACATTCCTTACATTGTGCTATAAACTATTACAATATGTACAGCGAAACTTATATATCCGAACACCTCTCTAATCTGAACACCTCTCAGTGTGAACATTTTTTCTGGTCACAAATTTGTTATCTCCCATTGACTTACATGTGAAATGTGAACACTTGCTAATCTGAACACTTTTGGCCAGTTCCAAAGGTGTTCGATTAAGACAGGTTTTACTGTTGTATATTGAAACTTTACTTACCAAATATGGTTAGCCTCAGTATTCTACTGCATTGTATGGCGAAGGATAGATCAGAACTATCAAATATAGATATCAAATCACCCTCTAAAAATACAATTGTGAATACATGTATATGGTATCATGCCTGATGGATATGTATGCTGGTAGAGAAAATGATTATATTATGCTTAACATTCTGGACAGCAATGTCATTGTATATGTTCTGATATCCTTTGCATTTTGATAGACTTAGCTTCTGATTGGATGAGAGAATGTCAGGATGGCGGGTTTGAATTGTTTTATGACCAGTTAGTTTGATGGTCTCCAGCAGTAGAGATGGAGTTGCTTAACTGTGAATTTGTTTTAACATATTTAGAGGTTAATTTAGAAGAAAACCCTGCACTCTGGGCATTTTTAGGAAAATGGAGACACTGGTATTTCATGCAATATCAGACCCCTGTGAATTTGAATATTTGCAAGGATAATCAAAGGAGAAAATTATTCCACTCTTTCCTCCGTAATCACCCATCCCTACACTATAGCATAGGCGTAGCCAGGAGGGGGTGCAATGGTGCTATCGCACCCCCCCCCCCATAACCAATGAAAATATAATCATTAGATAGAGGAAGAAAAGAGCTTTAAAATTCTTTGATTTGAAGCTTCTAGCTCAATTTTGAAGGAAGTTACATCAATTTTTGTAAAATTCAAAACAAATATTCGTCTTTTTTTGGGTTGCTTATGCCACAATCACACCCCTGACTGAAAATCGAAAAAATTTCGGCAATCACACCCCCCTTACTGAAAGCTGGCTACGCCCCTGCTATATTATTCCTATTCCTGTCAACTTTATTCGAAAATAATTTTTAATTCAAGACAACCTAGATCCTCATTCCTTACCATCATCTTTGTATTTGATTGTGACCTCATCACTACTGTCTAAATGTCCTCTGAAGACACGCTGCATCATTAAGATAAGCTCATCATATGTAATATCCTCATTATGGATTGGTATACGCCGTATGTCATTCCCTAGTTGTGCCTTGATGATAAGCTTTCCACTGAGATCTAGGGTCGGGAAGCCTTGATCCCCCATTCTACCAGATGTTGAATTCATTAGCTGGAATGAAGTTTGAAAAGTATCACTATCATGGCTAAGATGTTTGTCGTAAGCTGTGTATTCTTTGTGCTACGTTATTATTTTACAAAATATTTCAAAAATTATGAAATTATAAATTTTGAGTACAAGATTTGATAATTGTACATGGGTTTATCAATCAATATGCACTGTACAACCAATCAAGTTCACAGGATTTGTGCAATCATATATGGAAAAGTATATTCATAAATATGAATGACATTTGTATATTTCAGATTTTTTAGTTTTTTGTGCAATAAGCCTGTGCCCTCTTGCAATTTGAAGAATGTCAGCCATGTTATTCTTATTGCAAATAACATGGCAAAGAAGCATCAAAACATAAAAGGCCACACACTTTATAAGTCAAACTAGAAGTAATCCTAGATATACAAATGTCATTCATATAATAGGAATATATTTTTCCATATATTATTGCATAATGATATTTTGATTTCTTATTTTTTAAGTTTTACTGACGCAATAAAACAGTGAAATGAACTTTATCACAGCTAAGATGTTGGTTGTAAGCTGTGTATTTGTTGTGCTACTTAGTTATTATTTTGCAAAATATTTCAAAAATTATGAAATTATAAAATCGTACATGGGTTTATCAATCAATATGCACTGTACAACCAATCAAGTTCACAGGATTTTTCAGTGACCTCATTTATTCAGATCACACCAGTCGCAAATCACAATAAAACTGTAGGGGCTTATCCCGTGCCAGGACTATAGTCCTGCGAACGTCTTATTCTTTTGCCTGTAAGATTACAACATGGGAGAATTTTCTACGCTTCTTACACTTAAGATACCTATTTCAATAGATTCCTTGGTATTTTAGCATTCTTTTCGTGTAGTTGAATCTACAATTGTCTGGGTTTATCGGCAGAACAAAGACATTTTCGTTTTTAATCACAATATTTACGTGTAATATTTAACTTATTTCAACCGTCAAATTCCTCCATTTATTGGTGCTTCCGGGCCACTTCCGGGTCAGTCAAATGGGGAATCCCCTTTTAAATCCAACCTCCATCTTGGAAAGTGATGGAATATCTCTCGATGAAAAGGAAATGTTCCCGTTCTGCCGATATACCCAGACAATTGTGGATTCAACTACACGAAAAGAATGCTAAAATACCCAGGAATCAATTGAAGTAGGTATCTTAAGTGTAAGGGGCGTAGATAATTCTCCCAAGTTGTAATCGTACAGGCAAAAGAATGCTCTCAATGCAGTACTATAGTCCTGGTACGGGATAAGTAGGGGCTGTAGGCTTCGGACACAGACATGGGAGAGTTTGCTGTTTGGATAATGCAAACTGTGTTTTGATCTTGAGATTTTGAAATGTTTAGATCACAGAGGTCATGAATATGTGTTCGGATATTTCAATTTCCTAGGAAAATGGATGTCAAACTCAATCAATGACAATGTCAGGTGAGTGTGATTCACAAAACAAGTCACATAATTTCAGCTTTTCAGCCTTTTTCAAAAAACAAGGAGCCTTTACAAAAAGTATGTGTGTCTTTTGCAGCCTAAATAAAGTGTATACAATTCCCTTGAATAAAATGTAATGTATATACACTAAACTTACCTATAAATGCAGTAAAAAGGAGTTTAATTGAAGATTTCCTGGTTTCTCCTAGGTGGCTTGTATGTGGCAATATAGTAGTGACATCTATAGATACAAACTATAATTCAATCAATTTCTTGCATTTATCAATAATTCATATTACAGTTCAACGACCCCAGTTCAACTATTTTGACGCAATTATCTATATTGTCATACTTAATATAATAATGATTAATATAATTACTTGTAATATCTGGTAAATTTGTCACGTAATTACAGTATGGCAGAGTTGTATAAAGTTTTCAAAATGATCGGTTCTTGAGACATGTACTTGGTCAATGAGTGCATGTCTTCCCATCATGCAAATTTTAACATCCGGCATTGAAAGAAAAAAGTTGATTTTTTCGTAAAAAGTTCATTCATGCTTTTATATCACGTTACATACACGAATAAGACATTTCTTGATAAATTAATATACAATAGAGTGGACCTACAACAATTAAAGTGGTAAAATTAACCAGGTAAGCTGAGAATAATCAGATTAGTTATGTTTAATTTCTATTATTTTTTTGCCAATTTTTCGGAGATGCATTTTTGATGGGACGAGAGTAAATCCTATGCGGCATATGATATATTATTGATGTTTGACCAATCACGATCAAGACTTTGCAATAAGCCTATGCCCTCTTGTAATTTAAAGAATTTCAGCCATGTTAATCTTTTTGAAAATACTATGGCGGAGAAGCATCAAAATATAAGCTTACTTCTTGCGAAAGCTATTTGGATTTTGATATAATAGCTTTCCCACGGAGCATTTGGACAGCTGAATGATTGTGACCTTTGAAATCGAATTAAGTCAATCCGCGGCTTACTTTTGGTCTCTAACTGTGTCTTACATCAGTATCATCAATCTGTGTAAGTATTAGAGCGCTGAAATACTTCTTTTTCGATCAAGACTTGTAAATTGTTCATCGAGTGAATGTTTTTTAAACCTATTTCCAATATTGCGGTTTGTGAGGAGCGAGATACGCAACGAACGAAATGAATTTTGAGAATTAGTTAGGTTCGGACAACCTCCGGAGATTTACGAAAATGTCCGAGCAGAAAACGCCATATTGGAATTTGGCAGTAAAAACATTCACTCGACTAACAATTACAAGTCTTGATCGAAAAGGAAGTGCTTCAGCGCTCCAATACTTACACGGATTGATGATACTGATATAAGACACAGTTAGAGACCAAAAGTAAGCCGCGGATCGACTTAATTCGATTTCAAAGGTCACTATTATTCAGCTGTTCACTTCCCCGTTTGAGAGCCATAGGTTTCAAAATCTAACATGGCTCTCGAAGTGAGTAATAAGAAGCCACATACTTTATTTACCAAACAAGAAGCAATCCAAGATATACAAATGTCATTTCTGTACAATAGGAATATATATTTTAGTATTAAAAATTATTATATTTGAAAATCTACGTGAAACAAAAGTGCTGTGATGAAGAGGTTATAAATAATATGTCAACTAAATGATTATGAGGGGAATTATGATAAATCAAAATTCACAATAAAAAATCCTAAGATGATTCCTTTCTGATACAGTAGGGAACATAAAGAATTTCTATAGCTATGAAAATTACATGCTGTCGCACATGTAATAAATTCTTACCTCAGTGAATTCAGTGCTCTATTTTCTCTGTCCTAGTAAGTCCAAATATAGTGGAATTTGTGTCTATGATGACAAATAAGAACTTAAAAATTTGAAGTAGATATTCACATGTTAATGCAGACTCTTAAATGTCACAATTATTTAACATGTTACTCCTGGTAGGGGAATATATCAGTACTAAACTTTTTTGGATAAACACCCCTGCCATTGCCAATGACCTTCATTTGGTCTTACCTCATGTATGTATTCAATCTGACGCTACCTCCCACATGCATTAGTGTATTATTTTGTATGTTTATATTACAGTAAAAACTGTCTATATTGAACATTTTTCTGGAGAAAAAATATTCAGTATTGGTAGGCGTTCACTACAGAGAGGGTTATTTATACCAAAGTCAGTAGAGTATATGCGGAGGAACGGTGTCACTAGAGACAGGTGTTCACTAGAGAGAGGTGTTCACTAAAACATGTTTTACTGCATATGTGAGACAGAAGTCTGTCTCTTCTCCCACATACCTCTTTCATCTGTAAATCTTTCCTCATATAATGTGCTTGTAAACACCTACTTTCATTTTCACCTATCTTTCCTCATATGTACCAGCTCGTTCAATAAGTTTATGCCAAAAAATGCAATCATTTTTAATTTTCATATTTTTATGAAACTCATAGAATATAGATAACATATTTATCTATTGAGACACAAGATACACCATTGTGTTGTGATTGATCAAAAGTTATAGTTACCTCATAGTCACATGACCAAACATGAGATATGTTTTGTAGAAAATAGCAAACCTTCAATAATAATGAAATGTCTCTATTTGAATCAAGACAAAAACTCTATAAATATGCTTTTGGTACTATGAGCAAACCCTCAATAAAAATATGGTCTTAATTTGGATTAAAACAAAAAATCTATATTTACTGTATGTATATTATTTTATGTATTCTAGAACATTGCTGGTTTAGTAATTATAATTTAGGCTTTGATGATGGTAGAGAGAAACATTTTATAACTTGTGACAAAAATGTCTGCTTAGTGTAGTCTTAAATGTGTTTGGGCCTTCCCCAAAAATCCATTTGGCCTTTTGCTACTTCCTAGTTAAAGCTTTGACGGGGGTGTTGCCAGCAGCTATTCATTGTATGTGAGTTTGACATATAGGACCTCTGATGCTTATTGCACTGATGTCATTCTTTGAATATTTAATTAAAAGTGTCATTATTATGCAATATTAAAATCATGACTCATTGTTTACTTTCAGAACTGTTTACTATTTAATTGGTGAAGTAACATGATGTGACACAACACAAGTGTGAAATTCTACCTGGTACAACATAATAATAGATAAACTGTGATTGAAACATAGTAACTATGGCAACTGGAGGAGCATGTGGGGGAGCAGGGGATGGACCCCCAGAATACCAAAGGACTAAAAGCAGGGATAAATATTCAACACCACAACAAAGGCTAAGCCCAGACACTGAAGACAATGTTTTAAAGGAAACTGAAAGTGTTTTTCAAAGTTTTTCATGTCATATGTTGCAAAATGAACAAACTAGAACGGGAGACATGATGGATACACCATCAAATCCAGAGCTGATGTCAATTCGTCCAAACCCAGTATCGTAAGTTTCTATTATTTCCTATTTGCTAGATCAGGTTGTCAAAATCAGAGTTTTATCATTGTGATAAGCCACATTTCTTTGATCTCTGTCTGCAGCATCTTTGTAAGAACTATGTTATTGTAGGTACCAAAACAGAGTTCTATTTATAAAAGTACAAGCAATTGGTTTGACCAAATTTCGTAGGGAAAACCAGTATGAAACTCCAAGATAAAATGCACTCAAGATTAAAAATCTTCAAGATATCATATTTTTAAAACTTTATCTGGTAGTGATCTCACCAGCCTAAAAGAATACTTCAAGTAAAATCATGCATTTTGCATTGAGTTGATATGAATCCTCAAGAATAACCCACAGAGAAGTATGATCTGTTGATCTATAACTTTTATAAAAGGAACATAAAATTAACAGTTTTGGGCAAATTATACAAACATTTAGATAGGCTAAGAATAATTATCCTGCAAATGACTCATAAAAATCCTTTAAAGGGAATGCGAAGTTTCATGTTCTAATTTACAAGCTGGCTACTTATGACCATCATCTATCACTTCAGCTCACTCATGGGACATATCGTGTTTGAACTAACATATAATTCAAGTTCAAAGTACCCATATCTGGATCGCTGCGGATGCCGCCATTGTTATGTATCAATGACGTCATTGATGCCTTAAAATTGATGCCTGGGAAATGTCGGTATATAATCACGTCATACTCGGATCGCAGAAATAGAACACATTTCACTGATATTTTATAACTATTTCTGTCCGCTTAACATTGTTGTCGCATGTTCATGTCCATATCATATCATATATTTGGAAAAGTTGTTTCAATATATTCTTCATAGCAATTGAATTGTTGCAATGTAATTTTTCAAATGTTTGTATTTATTTCCTCCAATGTGATATAGTATAGGCTAGGTAGGAAAATCACTAAACTTATGAGATATCGGCTGCGCGATTCGGAAGTCATCGCATTATATTCCACTTGAAAAATATCCACTAGAATTATTTTATATAATGATAACACTGGGTCAAAAAGGATAAAACTGTTCAAATCCTGTAAATGCTTTCTTGTATATTTTACCAATAAATGAGGTAAATGCATTAAAATATACAAAATGGCATTTGCACATAAATGCTACCCTGCGTGCAGAGTCTAAACTGAAGACGAAGCTCTCTTTTAAGAAGTGAAGTCAAACTAATGCAAAGGGTACATAAATGCATTACTGTGCATCAATTGGGATTTATTTAACTAAGATTAATGTGGCTAATGTGTTGGCGTATTTGTGGTAAAAATAAGTACATGTAAGTTATATTAACGGCTGAACGCATCCAACAAATAATTGCATTTACTATATTTATGTAAATACACGACATACCATTTAAAATATCAAAATCTATGCTAATGTTCATTAATGCGCTGATGAGCATTTACGGCACATCATTATTAACCTTAAGGTATACGTCGGCAAATAGGCATACTGCCGCAATTGCTTTCTTACCTAATCATAAATGGTAGATTTCTTCAATCTGTAGTATTCTATTCGAATGTGTATAGGTGCATGGATAGGGGCATATTGGAGAATGAAAGAAACAAAACAAAAAGTAGTAATCCAATGAAACAGTAACTCCCTAAAGTGTTTAGCCATTTAAATTCTGATGAAAAACGCAAACAAAAAAACGAAAAATCGATGTCGTCTAAATGAAACGTATGTAAATGTCAATCTCCTAAATATTAAGATTGGCAAAAGCTTTACAAGGACATGCCACTGTCATATTTTCAAAGAATAATACGTAATGTTTAATTTTTCTCAGTTGTTAATCGACCAATTTCAATCATCATATCACCGTGGCGACATTCGATATGACAAAAGAAAGCTTTTCAAAATTCAATGGTATTTTCACCTTAGATCATGACAAGAGAAGGCTCATAACATTCAGTGATGCGGGGAGACGATGGGGTCGATTGTAGTATGATATTTCATTTCAACGACGATAAGGCAATTGCCGTATTGATAGTACGCCAATAGTTTAATATTTGTTTTATTATATATCTATTTTTTTGTTAAAAACAATTCCTGATTTCGAGCTCGAATTTAATTATACGTAAATACAGTTTTACAGTATTTTCGATATAATGATTTTCAATTTAATGGCATACAACCTTTTGTTTTTCTATATCGGAAAATAAGTGGAACTTTAAAAGCTTCAGTCACATTTGTTCAATGCGACCACACGTCGATCGTAAATCAGTAAAGGAGGATGGAAATTAGCGCAACAGATTTTGGACAGTCATATGTTGGATTATGGCCATTTTCTGAGGATTTAAACAATTGCATATGTTGGGCCAATGCATTACCTCCAGGAAAATCCCTTCTAGAGATGATAAAATAATTTCAACTTTGAGACAGGGTAGATGCAAACAACCCACCCACATGTTTTTTCTGAAATGTTTTCCTAATTTTCGACCCCTTCCATCCCTGCTTTTTTAATTTTTCTTGCATCAATATGTTGCATTTTGACATATAGTTAACCACCTTAAAGGAATAAGTGATTCCTTAAGGGGTTTTAAAGATACCCATTATGGGTGACCAAACTTAGCTGAAAGCGATGATTTTTCCTATGGGAAATATTGTTTTCCACTTTATCTAAAAGGAATCATTTATTCCTTTTAAGGTATTAACTGTGTGTCAAAACGCAACATATTGATGCAAGAAAAATAAAAAAAGCAAGGATGGAAGGGGTTGAAAATCAGGAAAATATTTCAGAAAAAACATGTGGGTGGGTTGTTTGCATCTACCCTGTCTCCTAGTCGAAATTATTTTATCATCTCTAGAAGTGATTTTCCTGGAGGTAATGCATTCGCCTAATATATGCACCTGTTCAAATCCCCAGGAAATGGCCAAAATCAAACATATGACTGTCCAAAATCTGTTGCGCTAACTTCCCTCCTCCTTTCTGCGGCAAACATAGGAAAACTACAGTCGACTAAAGGTCACCTTGCTGTCTACGTACACGACATATCCAGTTTTTACAAGGCGTAGCGGAGTTATAACTTTTTCTTTCCTGTGGTCACCATAGATATCAACAAGCAGCAGCCAAACCGTAGGTCTCACGACGGCCGTACATCGGGTTCACGGTCGACTTGCGGCTGCGCTTGGATTCATAGGTTCCAATTGACCTTTCCGAACCGAACCCCTTGTGGATGCCTTCAAGAAAAACTACGCACGTCGTAGGGCCCCCCTACGCTGATCGTGCGTCATCATTTACCAGCCGTACGGGAATCGTAGTTTTTTCTCATAATCAAGATACGCCGTACGGCTATCTTAGCAAATGTGACTGCTAAATTATCTGACTGCATAAATACTTAGGCAACCCGTAGAAATCCTACTTACCACAGAAATGATAGACCGTACGGTTCCCGTAAAAATGTAACGTGAGGCTAAGAATCCATGATAGTAATTGAATACGGTTTTAAAATTTAATTTTAAAATTTTAATTTCTTTGAATACCTGTGTTAAAGATAAACATAAATGCAATGAATATTAAAGTACGAACACGTATTTTTGTAATGAGACTAGCAAATTAAACTCTTGCATTCTTGGAAACTCAAGATGGGTTGGTTGAATTAATTTTATTATGTTTTATTCTAATAGTTTGCATTCGCCTGATAGAATTAGCATTTTCTGTTCGCATTTAGCGCTAGACCTAATAAAAGTTAAAAGTCACGAATCCCAGATTGTTTCAAGTGTAAATAAAGAATAAATCTAACCTGCATTCCATGTCTAGATAGGTAAAAAGCAATTCCGAAAATGCCGGCGTTAATATTCTATTGAAATCGTTCTTTATTATGGGTGGTATATACGTATTCTTTTAGTTCCTTTGAAATGATTTCTTTGGTTTTGGAATGGCAACAACTCGGCATTCATTTTTTGATTCAAAAATGGCGCCACAAAACTTTTAGAATGCCAAGGCATCAATCTGGCATCAATGACGTCATAACAATGTCGTAAAGAACCACTTTACGGTTGAAATGGCAGCTCCGTGGTCCAGTTCATATGCAAAACCCGGGGCTCAATAACAATTAAAAGGATAATGATAGAACAATAAAACTAAGTTGGATTGAAAGATATATCTTTATTCTAACTTATTATCAAGTTTAAGGGACAAAACTTCGCATTCCCTTTAAACCAATTTGAACCAATTTTTGATTTGAATAATTAAACCCTGGACCGACCCTCTATTATACATTACTCACAAGTTTCATTCCAATTCTCTCATTATTTTAATTGCTGTATTTTGTCTGGTGACATCGATTGAAATTGATTCAATGTCATTAAAAAACTATTAGTAATGGATGATATATGAATATTTATGAAGCTGTTTCACAGAAACTTTTGAAATTGTCAAAGGGAGAAGTACAAATGTTTCATGATCAAAGGTTATTACTGATAATATCAAAGTAAAGATTTTGAAACATCTTTGTGTACGTGTATTTGTTGATTGTTTCTAAGAAATCAACAAAAAATTGTAAGTGTGAGAAGTAAAACAATGACCTATCATCAAATAGTAAATAACTTATGACTTCAGAACTACACATATTGAATGTGAACATTGTAGTGTTGTAAAGTGTAAACGATATAATTAGAAATGCAGCACAAAATAATCTGTCTAATGTTGTGAAGACCATGAGTTGTACAAGAAAATCATTACTTTATTTTAACAGATGTAAATACAATCGGCAGACAGACATACACCAGTAGTATTAATCTGGAATTTCAAAAAATTAAGCTTAAAGAAACTTAAACCATTCCTGTGTCATTTAATTTTTCACATCATCATATCCTGCAACAAAAGAATTTTCACCTTTAAGCACTAACATTTACACATAATGTTGGTTTTGGTCAGTGGGTCATCCTTCAAGATCTGGTTTCACTGCTATTAGCAGCTATGGAAAGCATTGAAATACCTTTAGACCAAGGATGCAGTGAGTGGGTGGAATTG